CAAGGCAGGCTGCCTGAGCTCATCCCCATTTTGCTCTTTCCCAGGAGGAAAGCAGTGGCAGGGAAAAGGGGGAGGAAGGATTTCCTTTTGCTCATGCAGGAAGCATCCCCCTGAGCAATCAGCTGGATAAATCCATCGTTTCATGACGTGGATTCAGCATCCCAGCAGCACATGACCCTCCCTGAGTCACAGATCTGCCCTCAGCACAGATTCCCCAGCTGCAAGCACAGGAGAACACTTTCCCTGCTGACAGCAGCCCCGGGAAGGGGAGCAAACAGCAGGATGTGGAGAGCTGGACTTTCCCAGCTCTGCTTTCTGTCTCTGCCTTCCAGGAATCGGAGCTCCTGTTATTGTCAGAGCCCAACAGCTGCAAAAACAACCTTAAAGTGGGGGGAAAGTCAATTTATAGAGAGAAACAACCCTGCAAAAATGAAACCTGCTTGGTTTTGGGGCTGCTCAGCTCCAACAGTGATTGACCAGCAATGCAGGAACAGTATTTTGATTCTAATCACCCTAGAAAAGGAGAGGAAATCCATAGGAAAATATCCTGGCTGCAGTTTTTTATTCCCCTGGATGTGGCAGAAGCACCTCTCTGAGTGTCCAGCCAGCATCAGCCAGCCCTGAAGGGATGCACTGGCACCTCACCCCTGTCTCCAAGAGGTTTGGGGACACTCAGCCTCTGCTTTCCACCTGCCACACGTGGAATCATGGAATGGGTGAGGCTGGAAAAGAGCTTTAGGGCCACTGAGTCCAGCCCAGCACCAGGTTCAGCACCGTGTCCCCAAGTGCCACATCCACGTGGCTTTGGAACACTTCAGGGATGGGGACTCCACCACTGCCCTGGGCAGCCTGTTCAATGCCTGAGTACCTTTTCCATGGAAAAATTTGCTTTAATATCAGATTTCAGCCTCACTGAGGCCGTTTCCTCCCTCCTGTCACTTGTTGCCTGGCAGACTGAGCCCTGTCCCCTTGCAGGGAGCTGTGGGGAGGGATGGATGCAGAGCTGGAGGATGTTACCCCAGCAAATCCAGCTCTCCCCCAGCCTCAAAAGCAGATGAATGTGAAAAAATAAACCCAGGAGCTGCAGGAGAATCCAGCCCGGGTTAATGTTAATACAGAAACACCAGCTGCTGTGGGACAGAGGTTGGCAGGAGGCTCCAGGCTGGCAGGAATCAGCAAAAATCCCTCGACTTCCCAGTCCAAATTCCCATGTACAGATAAGGAGCTCAGAGCCTGATGCTGCCAAATCCCTCCCACAGGAATTCCCTGCTCCCCTCTTTGCTCACAGGGCGTGAGGCCCTGGCACAGCTTCCCAAAGGTGCTGTGGCTGCCTCATCCCTGGAAGGGTAGAAGGCTTGGAGCTGTCTGGGATAGTGGAAGGTGTCCCTGCCCATGGAATGGGATGAGCTTTAAGGTCCCTTCCAACCCAAACCATCCCAAAGACACCTCCTGCCTCCAAGAGAAAGCTTGGAGAGACCAGTGAGAGCAGGGCTGAGTTAATATCAAAAAAAAACCCCAAAATGAACAAAAAAAAAAGGAGCTTTTGAAAGGTTCATCTGGGAAAGGGAAGGAAAATCCCACATGTGGAAGCAGAGCACAAAATCACTGCAGAGAGAACCTCGGGTGAGGAGGGAAGAAAGGAAACCCAGAGAGAAGTGAAGGAAATCCCAGTTCAGCAGCACCAAGAGCAATGACCACAAAGGCCAAAAGAAAAAGGGGAAATGCCCTCCCTGGCAGCTGCAGCCTGTCCCCTCATTGTCACACAAGTCTGGGAGGACATTCCCGTGCCCCAGCTCTGAGCAGCACCTGGAGGAGGCTCCCAGGGCAGGGAAAGCTTTCCCTGGTGGCCCAGGGAGCTTGGCAAGGGCAGGTCCTGCTGGGCTGAGCTGGTGTCTCAGGCTCTGGAGCAGGCCAGGCAGGCAGCAATTTATGGGCTATTTATGGTCAAAAATCCCTCTGGAAGCCTTGAGAGCTGTCATCAGCCTCAGGGAGATGTGTGTGTGTGTCAAGGGCTGCTGAGATTTAATTAGCACTTGCCTTTTCTCCTTCTGGAGAATGGTTTTGGATGTGGAGGAGGAGGTGGCTGGGCTGTGGCTTGGGCCAGCACGAGCTCCTGAGCCCAGGCAGGCCTGGCAGGGTTTAGGCTCAGCTCACACAGGCGTTGGGAGCACGTTAATCCAGTCTGGAATGGCAGCAGGGCTGAAGCCCAGCCTGGTTAGGGTTGGAAGGGACCTTAAATCCCATCCTGTCCCAGCCCTGCCACTGTCCCACGTGCTCCAAGCCCTGTCCCACCCGGCCTTGGACACTTCCAGGGGGTGGAAGGACATGAGCTCCGAGGTCTCCTCCATCCCAAACCCTGCTGTGATCCACGGGCAGCACCCCCAGGAGCTGTGCTGGGAATCCCAGGCACACCTGAGGTCTGGGAAGGGCAGCACAAACCCATCCCTGCATTTCCCTGTCCCCAAAATGCTCCTGGGAAGGGCAGCACAAACCCATCCCTGCATTTCCCTGACCCCAGAGAGCTCCTGGGCTCTGGGAAGGGCAGCACAAACCCATCCCTGCATTTCCCTGTCCCCAAAATGCTCCTGGGCTGCTCCTGCTGCTGGCTGAGCGTGACCCAGGCAGGGCTGGGATGTGGAATCATGGAATGGGTGAGGCTGGAAAAGAGCTTTAGGGCCACTGAGTCCAGCCCAGCACCAGTTCAGCACCGTGTCCCCAAGTGCCACATCCACGTGGCTGTTGAACACTTCAGGGATGGGGACTCCACCGCTGCCCTGAGCAGCCTGTTCAATGCCTGACCACCTTTTCCATGGAAAAATTTGCTTTAATATCAGATTTCAGCCTCACTGAGGCCGTTTGCAGCCCTGCTGCTGCTCCCCAGCCCTGCTGACACCCCCAGCATTCCCTCAGGATCCCCCCAGAACAGCAGCCTGTCCTGCCCCTGCCTGGGAAGATCTGCAGGATTTTAGGATTTCCAGCAGTTTGTACAAACCCAAAGGGTGCAAACCAAGCTGTTTCTACACCAGAAGCTCCCTGTGAATTCCAGGCTGGATGAAACCCTGGACCAGGCAGGGATTCCCACCCTGTTCCCAGCTCCAAGCTGCTGCTGTTTCTCCCCCTTCCTCAGGATGTTTTCTCCAGCTTTATTTTGTTTTTTTTTTTTAGGGAACAGTTTGCTGTGAACAGGCAGAACCTGTTCTGGACACACTCAGAGCTGTTCCCCATCTGCAGCATTTGCCAGCACGACTCAGATTTTTTTATTTATTTTTTTTCTTCCCAGATACTCCAGGCTCTCTCCTGCGTGTGGGCTGCCTCACCCAGGGGAGACGTGGGCTTGGAAAAATCACATGGATGGGCCCATGAGCCAAGCCCTGCTCCCTCTGGATCCTAAACAGGGATCCCAAATCTTTGGGGTCCCTGCAGACCCCGCTCCTGGCTCTGCTTGCCTTCAATGAAGGACAGACGTGGAACAAAATGTAATATTTTAGGAAAGATCTTCCACATGTTGGGCTTTGGCAGAGTCTGATGGTTTGAAGGGAGCCAAAAAATAACTAATCCTCCCCTCCTTCAGCCAAGGGCTGAGTGGGACCAGAGGGGAGAAAGGGGGGAAAAGAGAAGGAAGAGACAAAAAAAATGGCCAAACTGGAACCAGTGACTCCCAGTTTCCAGTCAGAGCATCTCTAAGTCACAGACACCTCTGTCCCCGTCCCTGGAGCACTGCAAGGGGTGGCAGCACCTCTGGAAGAATTTGTAATTCCTCCAAAAAATTGTTTCATCTGAGGTTTAAAATGATATTTTTGGGCTTAGGAACGTGTTAGTCCTGAATCACTGAGGGGTTTTCACCTCCTGACACCACCACAGCACATCCAGCCAGCAAAATCCTCCCACTCCCAGTCCCCAGCACGACCTTTCCCCGTGGAAGTTGTGAAAAAACACCATAAAAACCACCCCACGACGGGTTCAGTGGGAAAGGAGGGTGGAGGATGACTTCAGGAATTCGTTCTTTTGCTTTGCTGGGTAAATAAAACGGATTTGGGGAAACAGAGCCGAGGAAGGAGGCGACACACGTCGCACGCAGGGGTGGGATGAGCTGAAAGGGTTTAAACTCAGCGATGGAAAACACCATCCGTGCCAAATTGATCTGGAATTGAAAGCAGGGGCAGGAAAGCAGCAGCAGAGGGGGAATTTGCGATTCCTGAACCGTTCCCAAAACGCATTCACAAAACCTCCCAGCGGCGCACGGGAAGCGGTGGGAAGGAAAATTCTGCTGGGGAGGGTTGGGAATGGCCACCGTTTATTTGAGAGAGGAAAAAGGAGTTTGTGAAGCCTCTTTGAGGCCCGTTCCCACATGGAATTATGGAGCAGCTGATGGAAAATCCCATTCCTCCGTCCCGGGCTGCTCCAAGCCCGGCCTTGGGCGCTCCCAGGGCTGAGCAGTGCTGGAGGGGAAGAGCTCCAAGGACACCACACGAGCTGCAATTCCCGAACCTCTGGAGCTTTTCCCAGCCCTTTCCCCCCGCTCCAGCCGCTCTGCAGGAACCGGGAGTTCCCGAGGCCGCCGCCGCGGTTACCGGGGCCGGTGCTCCCGGTGCTTCCTCCGCCTCTCCCGGCCGGTTTAAGGCTGGATCCGTCCCGGTTCTGCGGGTGGGTTTTGGGGAGAGGGAAACGCTCCCGGTGATCCCCACGGTGTCACCCGCCCCGGAGCTCCCCGGAGGAGCTTCCCTGCCCGGTGCCACCGGGAGAACGGCTCCCCCAAACCGAGCCCCGCCCGGGAGTCCGCTCACGGCCGCACCGAGCCCCGGGATCACACTGAGAACCGGGCGATACGAGCCCGGGATAACGGGGATGCCAGGCTGGGCACCGGGGGATGCCCGGCGGGACCAGCACCGGGATAACGGCGGGGATCGCGCACCGCCGGGGCAGCAGCGACCGGGATGGGTTTTCCGAGCCGGTAAGGGAAGATCGGCGGCGGGAGCGGGCGCGCGGTGCCGGTGTCTCACCTGGGTCGCTTTGTAGAACTGCTTCTTCAGCCCCGCCACCGACATGGTGCCGGTGCCGGTGCCTGGCCCGGTGGCGGCGGCGGGGGGCCCGGTCTGCGGGCGGGGGGCCCGGTCTGCGGGCGGCGGGACCTGGCGCGGGGGCGGCGGGAGCCTCGGGAGCCTCAGGACGCTCCGCCCGTCCCAGCCCGGCCCGGCCCGTCCCCGCCGCCGCTTCCGCCGCCGCCCCCGGCCGCCGCCACCACCGAGCGGCGCGGCCGGAGCGCCGCGCGGGGCCAGCGCGCCCCCTGCCGGCCGGGCGGAACCGCCGCGCGTCGCGACTCAGCCGAATAGAGTCGTTCTGTCGCGACACGCGCGACGGGCGCTCATGGTGGGAGATAACGGTGGCGCCGCCGGGGGTTTATCGTGAGGGACGAAGCACCGCCCGCGGGGAGCGGACGGCGGGTGCCGCACCGGGACAGCCGCGCCGGGACCCCCGCTATAAAAATGGGGAGACAGAGACTCCAAATGGAAAACTACGACTCCCAGCATCCCTCGCGACAGCGGCGCGCTAATTGGCCGCCGACCCCGCCGCCATTTCGCGCGGTGGCTCGATGCCCGTAGTGGCGCGAGGCGGGCGCGGCAGTGCTGGCTCCGCCCCCTCCTCCCGGTGCTGCGGACAGGCCCCTCCAGCCCGGCACCGGCCCGCCGCAGCCCCGTTCCCGCCCGGTGAGCGGGCAGGCCTCGGGCCCAGCCGCAGGCACCCAGCGGCGCCCCGCCGGCCCTTTACAAAACCACCCAATCAGCGCCCGCAGCGCGCCAGACTGACAGCTCCCTCCACCAATCAACGGTGCTGACGGCGGCAACCAACCGAAAGGCGAGGCGCACGGGGGAGCGTGGCTGGGCGGGTCACGTGGGGCGCGCTCCGCCAATCAGCGGCGCGGGACGCGGGGTCGCCCCGGCTCCCGCCAAGTACGAGCGGGACGGGCCGGGCGGGACCGGGACCGGGCCCGGAGCGGCGGGGGCTGCGCCGCCTCACGGGCCGCCCGGCACCGCCGCCAGCCGCGCTGGCCGCCGCCACAGGTAGGGCACAGCCCGGGGGGTGCGGCGCGGCCGGGCCGCGAGGTGTTTCCAGCGGCGGTTGGGCCGCGGGGGTGCGCGGGGCCTGCCCCGGGTAACAAAGGAGGTGCCGGAGCTGCCGCCGCGCCCCGGGGCTGGGCCGTGCAGCCTCGCTCAGGGAGTCACGGACCGGTTTGGGTGCGGAGGGAGCTGAAAGCTCGTCCTGCCTGGGCAGGGACGCTGTGTGCTGTGCTGGGGTGATGCAGCCCGGCCCTGGGCACTGCCAGGGCAGCCGCAGCTGCTCTGGGCACCCTCTGCCAGGCCCTGCCCGCCCTCACAGGCAGGAGTTTCCTCCTCACAGCTCCTCGGGGCCTCCTGGGGACGTTCCTGCTCAGCCCAGCCAGGGGGACGCTGGTGGCTTGGGGGTGACAGTGGGACCCCCTTGTCCTCCCTCACCGGCTCTGGGAGCTGCTGGGCTCTGCCTCAGCTGTCTCAGAGAAGCAGCAGCTCGCTGGGAGCAACCCCGGGTGCTGATTTGTTGTTTTCTCCCGTAGCCATGGAGTGCAGAGACAAAGCTGCTGTTCCTCCACGGAAGCTCGTCCAAGGTAAGGGAGTGTCTCTCATCCAGCACGGTTTTAGCACATTAAGAACATCTCAGACGTGATTTTGTGAAATACATTAGTTTGGCTGTGATTAAAGCATCTCTTAGTGGCTTATCTCAATCTTATTCTTAAAAATGAATAAAACCCTTTGACATCACAGGGTTCTAACCTGGTGTTGTTGTTGCAGCTCGGCTGCCCTTCAAGCGCCTCAATCCTGTGCCAAAGGAAAAACTCGATGTGAATCCAGAAGTCAAAAAAGTCAAGAGCTCCCCGAGTGCTTTTGTTCCCAGCAAGGATCCCTCCCTGGATGCCTCAGGTGCCTCCCTGGACGATGTGGAGAATGACTGCCAGCTGGGCTCAGATGGGAATTTGCCTCCACAACTCATGAATGGAAAAGGTCCATTGGACCATTTTATCCAGAAAAACCCAGGAGGTGACAGGAGTGACCCTGGGGATGATCCTGACCTCTCCAAGGGCTCTGCCCACGGACTCGGGGACGGCACGGAGCAGGAGGATGTGGATTCTAGAGCTGCTGTCAGCAATGGCACCATAGGAAAGGAGCTGAGCTGCCTGAGCTCCTCGCAGAGCAGCCCAGCGGGTGACTCCACGCAGACTGAGGGGCCCTGTGCAGCTGCAGCCAAGGCAGAGCAGGATTTGGGAGCTGGGAGCCAGCCATGCTCCGGCCTCGCAGCCTGCAAGGACGTGGCAGGCAGGAAGGGCACTCAGGGCGAACTGAAGGACGTGCTCTTTGAGGGGAAGGTGCCCGTGGTGCTGCTGGAGGACATCATGAGCCTGAAATCCCCCCAGGTGGCCTCTCTGGACGGCAGCACCGCCTCGGAGAGCGAGGCCCTGGAGTCGTCCCACGAGGGAGACTCGGGACTGACCAACTCCTCGCTGAGCTCCGGGAGCTCACCCGAGCTCCTGGCACAGACCAAGGGCAGCACCAGCCCTCTGGCTGCCTCCACACCCGCCAGGAAGGTTGGTCTGCTCTGGTTTTGGGGGGTGCAAGTTGCTGTGGTGCAATGTTTGGGTTGCTGGGATTGTGGGGAAGAGGGTGAGTGGGGCAGTGAGGAGTCTAGGAAAGGTGGTGGTGGTTGATTAGTGAATTGTTGCCCTTTGGAGTCTTTAAATCCTGCAGCTCAAGGATTTGATTCTCCCTGCTTCTGGCTGCTGCTGGATTTACATTTCTTTAATGAAATACCCACTTGACACTTGGTGTTTTGGGAGCAGCAGCCCAGAGCAGTTTTGTGCTTCAGGTGTTTTTCCCCAGCTCTGTTTCATCCCCCTCCAAGCTGCTGGGATTCCTGTGAGGATGTTCCCCCAGCACAGCCAGTGCAGATGCTTTTCCAGCTCTGAATTTCCTGCAGCTGCCATGGAAAAGCCCTGGCACAGATTTCCCAGAGCTGCTCCTGCCTCATCCCTGGCAGTGCCCAAGGCCAGGCTGGGTGGGGATTGGAGCAGCCTGGCACAGTGGCTGTGCCCCATGGATGGGCTCTAAGGGCGCTCCCAGCCCAAAGCATTCTGATTCCATGAAAAACCTCTGGATTGGGGGGTTTTTGTTCACCTGAGTTTCAGTTTAGCAGCTCTGCTTCAGCAGGAGGCCCCCAAACACTCTGATTTTTGGGGCAGTTTGGACAGAGACGCTTCCAAGAGCAGCAGCACCACCACGGGGATGGTTCTCCCAGTCCTTTTGTTGTGTTTATCAAGTCAAGTGATCAATTCTTCCTCTCTGAAAACTCTCAGTCTTCCATCTCTAAAATAAACAGACACACTCAAGCAGGCATGAAGTATTTCCAGTGTAGCAGAACAACAAAAAGCAATCCTGGTGTAATCCAGTACTGCCAGTGGGGCTGGATTTGCTCGTCTGCTGCTCCCCAAGATGAGGGGCTGCACCCCAAGCTGTGTGTCCTGGCAGGTTTGTTTTCCTGGGAGGAAACAGCTCTGAGGAGCTGAAGCCCTCACTTGACAGAACTCCTGTTTTATGGCAGCTAAATATAGAAAATAAAGCAGTTGGGCTGTGTTAGCCTGTTAATCACAATTTAAATGTGATGCTGTGAATGGCAGGAGGAGGAGGGGGGATCCAGTCAATCAAGTCACAGTGTGATGAAATATTGACAATCTTTAACCAGTCTATGAACAATGACCTTATGCATAAACCACCTTTTTCTTCCCCCCATAAATAAAAGAAAAATGGGAAGTGTGCCCTGTTTGGAATTTAGGGTCAGTGAGCTGTTCCTGGTGGAAGATCAAGTGGACTGTGATGACAAGAAGAAACTTAAAATGTGGAAAACACTCCTTGTATTCATAAAATTACAGCTAAATACTAAATATCACAGCAAGATAGGTGGAGGCCAAAAAAAACAACCCCAAACAAACCCAAGTTTAGCTGGAAGGAAGTGAGTTTGCCACATTGAAATGTCCCCTGTGGTTCAGAGCAGCTCCCCTGGGTGCTGTGCACGTGATGTTCCCTTGCTGAGGGGTTTGTTCATGGGAGCAGGAGCCCTGGGATGGATCCAGGCTGGGATGGGGATGTGGAGATTGGAAATTCCCAAATTTTGTCCTCATTCCCTGCTCTGGGGGAATTTGGAGTGACTGGATGTGATCTGCAGGAGCAGCCTGATGTCACTCAGGCTGGGAAGGCAGGAGCAGGATCTCCTCTAAAACTTGCATTTTGTAATTCCAGGTACCTCAGAAATTCCACAGAAGTTCAGCAGAGAAGGAGAAGCTGAGATTGCAAAGAGTAAGGCATTTCCCTGACACCCAAACCTCCCCTGAGGAGCCAACCAAGGCCTTTGCCTTTTATCTCAGCCCAGCTGGAACATCTCTTTTGCCATTTTTCCTCTCCCTGAGGAGCGTGGAAGAACCTTTAATGCAAGCAGTTAAAGTGCTTGGCTCTTTCCAGAGCTCCTCAATGGAGCCCTGGCTGCATCTGGGGCTCTTTGGGAAGAAATTAGAAACACTGAAGCCCTAAAATTTCAGTTCTGTTTTTATTAATACACGAGGCAAGTGATGCCGCTGTGTCTGTGGCTTCCCAGAGAATGTCACCACTGGATGCCACCACTGGGAATGCTCAAGCTCCAGGTTCTGTTTGCTTGGCTGCAGCTCCTCTGCTCCCTCATTCTGCTGCCACTCATGGAATGCTGGATGTAGAGGAGGCTGAAGGGTCACTGCAGTTTCCAGTGCTGCACAAATGGGTTTTTTGGGATTGTTTTTTCTGCCCTGGGAAGGTTTGTGCTCAGGAATTCTGTGTCCCTCAGCGGCTTGTTTATAAACTTGTGTGTTTTATGTAAGTCGTAGCTGGAAAGCTTTTCAGCTTTTCCCAGTGCCCCATATAGAATTCCAATCTGTTGTTTTCTTCCCTTCTATAGCTGTGTTAAAAATAGCAGGGATGGGAGGGGGGAGAGAGGAGAATGGGAGCTAAAAATGATGCTGGGAATGCAGCAGACCCACCAGCGAGCTGTCAGCTTCACACCAGCACCCAGCACATTCCATGACTCAGGCTGACAGTGTTGTTTCCTTGCCATTGGCACCATTTGGCTGTTGGTGGCTTTCTGCACTTATTTATGTTGTGACACTGCTCAGGAAGCCTTGATGTTGACAAGGAGAGATGTGAAATCAATAAAAGAAAACTGAAAATACCCCGGGAGGAGTTGGAATGTCTGGGCACAGGCAGATCCTCCTTTCCTGGTGACATCACCAAGTGCCTGCAGCACAGAAAAGCTTTTTTTTTCTCTTTAATTTGACATTTTCCTCCTTGGTGTCAGCAGAGCCATGGTGGGAATTGCAGTTGTTTTGGGAGGAAACACCATAAAAGGCAACACTTCCAATAAAATCTTCCCCCCACTGTTCCCAGAGTGCTCCTTGAACAAACTCAGGGCACTGATGATGTCTGATGATCCAAAATGGAAGAAAACAAGGGATAAACTCCACAATCTGGGGTTTGGAGACTCACTTTATTCCATGAGATCATGGAATATCCCAGCCTGGGGGGGACCCACGAGGATCATCAAAGTGATGTCTGTGATAATGGAAAGCATCAGAAAATCCTTGTGGGTTTTTGATGTCAAATCAGCTCAAATTCACTTGTAGAAGTGACACCACTGTAGCCCTACGATGACACCAAAGCATGAAAAGCTTTGCTCAGGAGGAAATATTTTGGAAAGAATCTGAAATCTCCTATTAAATAAGGGAATAATTACGATTTTTTTAATTCCCATCTAATTTTCCATAATGCTACAGTGGTAATGAAGATGACTCAATACAAAAGCTTTCTTTGATGCTTAGAGAAATGAAAATACCTTTTTTTTTTTTCTTTCTTTTTTTTTTTTTTTTTTTTTTTTTTGCTAAGGGAAAAGAATAATTAAAGGTTTCAGAGAGGCAGCACAAGGAAGCTCAGCTGGCTGCTGCCTGAGGCACCAGGGGGCTGTGGATGTGCTCCCACCTGCTTTCCTGGGAAGGATGAGGGTCCTTCCCATTCCAGGATATTTTGTGATGCTGCAGGTCAAGCATTGGGTGGGTCCAGCTTCCTCTTTGAGCAGTGAAATGCTGATTTTTCACCAGGGCTTTGGGAGCACAAAGCTGCAGCTCCCTGAGTGTCCCCCTTTGTGCCCCAGGACCAGGAGCGTGCTGACAAGCTCCAGAAGCTGCAGGCAGAGAGGGAGGAGAAGGGGAGGCTGAAGGAAGAGGCAAAAGCTGCGAAAGAACGAGCCAAGGAGGAGGCAAAGAAGAGGAAAGAGGAAGAGAAAGAGTTGAAAGAGAAAGAAAGGAGGGAAAAGAAAGAAAAGGAAGAGAAGGAGAAAGCTGAGAAGCTGCGAGTGAAGGAGGAGAAGCGCAAGGAGAGGCAGGAGGCTTTGGAGTGAGTGCCTGGGCTTGTGAACAGCTCCTGGGGGTCCCTGTGCTGATGTCCAGCCCACTTTCCCTGCCCTCCTGCTCCAGCAGCACGGGCCTGGGCTCAGGGGGTGGCTCTGAAATGCTTGAGGGACTCTGTGGCCCCATCCCAGCTGTGCCTTCTGCTGCCCCAAACTCCCCCTCCTCACCTGGCTCACTTGGGCTGTTTGTTGAGGAAGTTACCTGTGATTTGGCAATCCCTGAAACGCCCTGGCATCAAGAGAAACTCGGGGCAGCCTATTAACTTGAAATGGGTCAATATTTGCTGTAGAAGGAATGAACAAAGTCTTCTCTACGCTTAACCAAGCGTGGTTCTCAGCTGGATTGACAGATGATCCTCGTGGTGGGGTCTGGGGCTTCCCACCTCAGTGCAAATAAACCCTTCCTGGTGGGTGCCAATTCACGTGATCTTTGTTTTCAAGGGCAAAACTTGAGGAGAAGAGAAAGAAAGAAGAGGAGAAACGGTTAAAGGAGGAAGAAAAGGTAAAAATGCTTTCTCTGCCTTGTCTCTGAATTGTTTCTGGGGTGAAATGCTGTTGGTGGAGCAGATCCCTTTGGGTGCAGCCTGTCCCCTCTGACCTGCTGGGGCTGCTCCATGCAGATTTTACCTTTAATTTTCACACATATTGGTTCCTTTTTGCTTTTCCCCTCTCAAGTGTTTTCTCTGTGTGTTTCTTTGCCCACAAGTGAACTCTCCCCTGGCAATATGACACTGCAGCCCTGCTGTTTCTGTTGAGTCACAGGAGCTGGTGACTGCCTGAACTTTGCTTTGTGCCTCGTTGCATTTGAAGTTGAGTCATGCATGAGCTCACCTGGAATTCCAAAGCTTTGTCCTATCTCAAAGTTGCATTTGGGTTCTCATTTCAGCGCATCAATGCACAGAAAGCAGAGATCACCAGGTTCTTCCAGAAACCAAAGACTCCACAAGCCCCCAAGGTGAGGGATTGCTGTGCCTGTGTGTTGGTCTCTCACAGTTGTTCCAAACAAATACCCTGATTTCCTTCTCTGCTGCCCCTTACAGCTTCTTAATGTGGTCAAAACATTGGTTTTTCTTAATTTCCTGGTCTCAAAAGCGTAAAGGATTTTAAGAAAAAGGCCAGAGCAGAGACTACAGAAGGCATTTGTGGTTGGTTTAGAGAATCTCAGCTCTTCTTCATTGCCTGGAAGATCTGCTGGAGTCTTGGATAACCTAAACCTCCACTTAACCTAAATCAACACCACAACAGGAGGTGTCTCTAGCATGTGTTGGTGCTGCAGCTTCTCGGTGTCCAAACCCTGACATTCCTCACTTGATGTTTCAGACCCTTGCTGGCTCCTGTGGGAAGTTTGCTCCTTTTGAAATTAGGGAGAACATGGTCTTAGCCCCCCTCAGCCGTGTTGCCCTGGATCCAGACGACCTGGAACAGCTGGATAAGCTCCTGCATGCCCAGAACACTGAAGATTCTTTCTTGAAGGATCTAAAATGTCGTAAACCACGAAAAACTGGGCCCACTTTGGTCAGTGACAGCAGTGACAGTTTCAACAGGTCAGTGTGCACTCGGGGCTTGCTTTGCTTCTGTTTTCTGAAACGAACTGCAGAGGGGATTTGAGGATTGATGTTGGAGAGGAGGGAAGGCTGGAGCTGTTCTGTGGGGCTGAGCCACCTTCCCCTGTGTTCCCAGTGACGTGGTGGTGGTGGATAACTGCCAGACTGATGCTGTTCCTGAGAGGGAGAAGTTTGGCAGGATGAAGCTCCTGCAGTTCAGTGAGAATCACCGCCCTGCCTACTGGGGCACGTGGAACAAGAGAACCTCCCTGATCCGTGCCAGGAATCCATGGTCCAAGGACACTGTAAGCACCTCAGCCTGCTGGATTCTTTATGCTCTAGAAGTGAATGTGCTTGGCCAAGTCCTCTGCTTCCCTGGGATTTTTGAGCCATTTTGTTCCCTCAGCTTTGAAAGCCCAGAGTGGGTTTGGTGCTCTGCTCTCCAGTGATGGGCAGAAATGTTGGCATTTCTTGCAGAAACTGCTGGACTATGAAGTAGACAGTGATGAAGAGTGGGAAGAGGAGGAGCCAGGGGAAAGTCTCTCCCATAGTGAAGAGGTGAGGATCCTGCATGCTGGAAAAATCAGGAACCACTTGCACTTGGCAGTGTAACTTCTGATCCATTTATTTGTAGGATGATGAAGAGGAGGGAGAGGATGAAGATGAGGACGATGGGTTTTTTGTACCCCATGGGTACCTATCTGAAGATGAAGGTGTGACAGAGGTAAGGGAGCTGGCTGTCCCTGAGTTTCCAAAGAGCTGTGTCATGTCAATATTGGCAGGGGAGGAGAGCAGGGTCCTGGCAGGGCGACCTGCACGGTTCAGGAGCGCTGTGTGGCTCAGGGAACACAAGGCTGGGTTTAAAAAGCTCTTTTTTTTTCCCCTAGTGTGGGTGTAACAAGTCTTTTGTCCCCTGTGGCTGCAGGAGTGTGACCCAGAGAACCAGAAGGTTCGTCAGAAGCTGAAAGCGAAGGAGTGGGATGAGCTGATAGCCAAGGGGAAGAGGTTCCATGTCCTCCAGCCTGTGAAGATTGGCTGTGTCTGGGAAAGGGCAGCAAAGGACAACAGCACCAACCCAGACCTGAAGGTGCTCCAGCAGTTCACAGCCTGTGTCCTGGATCCACCTGTGCCAGAGGAAGAGCAGCAGACACAGAAATGTAGCAAAAAAAGAGCAAAAGATCAGCAAAGTAAGACCTGAAGGGCTAAACACTTCCACACTTGTACTCTGCTTTGGAGGGAGTAGGGGGATTACTGAGTGTTGTATTCAGAATGACCTGTTTCTGACAAGTCTGGAATCCAAGGAATCTCTGAGAGCTCTTGGAAAAGAGTTTTCTGGCAGTGCCTCTCCAAAAAGTCTTGCTCTGGGCAATCTAGGAAATAAAGCCAACCAGACTTGAGCAAACTCAAATTTAAGGACAGGCTTGAGCCTGCTTATTGTTTAGGGAAAGGGTTTGGTTCCAGTCATGAGCTTTTCCTGCACCTGATTAACACAAAGCTGTGAATAACTCACATAAAAGCCAAGCAGGGGGTGGGGATTTTACTCCAGGGTGTTGTTATTATTGGGGGTGAGTTTTCTCCATCAAATCTGGCTGCTGTTACAATCATGGAATTGCTGTTACAATCATGGATTTTACTCCAGGGTGGTGTTATTATTGGGGGTGAGTTTTCTCCATCAAATCTAGCTGCTGTTACAATCATGGAATCCCACTTTGAGTTGGGAGACACCTTAAAGACCATCCAGCTTCTGCCATGGACAGGGACACCTCCCCCTTGCTCCAAGCCCCATCCAACTTGACCTTGGAGCCTTCCAGACACGAGGCACCCTCAACTTCTCTGGGCAATCCCATCTCTAAAACCAATCCTAGTATTTTCACCCCTGCTCTGGAGTGCTTTTGCTGATTTATATCCCCTTGGTTTCCCCAGCTTTTAACCCATTCTGTGCCACCTTTTCCCTCCTCCTCTCACAGTCCTGGGCCAGCTCCTGCCGCTGCTGCATGGGAACAGGGGGTCAGGCTGTGCTCCCAGGGGACAACAGGACAAGAGGGAACAGCCTCACATTGCACCAGAGAGGGTTAGGTTGGAGATTTAGGGAATATTTCTTCACCCAAAAGATTGCCCAGGGCACGGCTGGAGTCCCCATCCCTGCAGGGAATTAAAATCTGTGGGGATGTGGCACTTGGGGACGTGGTCAGCCTTGCCAGTGCTGGGGAACAGTTGGACTCGCTGACCTTTATGGGTCTGGAGTGTCCTTGCTGATTTATATCCCCTTGGTTTTCCCAACTTTTAACCCATTCTGTGCCACCTTTTCCCCCCTCCTCTCACAGTCCTGGGCCAGCTCCTGCCGCTGCTGCACGGGAACGTGCACGGGAGCAGGGTGATCATCCAGGAGTTCCAGGAGTGCTGCCGCCAGGGACGCTTCAGTGACGTGCCCGAGGGCAGCAACAGCAGCCCCCCACACCCCCCGGGTGGGGAGGACAGCGGGGTCCCCTCCAAGGCCAGGCTCAAGAGGATCATTTCGGAGAGCTCCGTGTACGAGAAGAGGCCCGAGTTCAGGATGTGCTGGTACGTGCACGCCGAGGTGCTGCGCAGCTTCGGGCAGGAGCAGCTCCCCGTGCCCTGCCAGTGGAACTACGTCACCCAGGTGCCCTGCACGGGCAAGGATGAGGGGGGCAGCGTGCCAGGAGTGGCTGTCCCCCAGCCCACCCCCCTGGCAGCCAAGAGGAAGGCCATGGGAAGCATGTCCATCACCAAGTTCATGAAGAGACCTCGGGGTGCTGAGCAGGTGAGTTCCTGTTGTGGCCTGTCGGAATCTGTGATATTTAAATGATCCTGAGATTGCAAAAAGTCTCTGTCTTTCTGCCCCACTGCCAAAGCAGAAGCCATAATTGGTCTGTGCTGGTTTCAAGGCTGTTTATTCTGTTTATCTCTAACATGTTCTGCTGCCCTGCCGCAGCTCTGTCCTGCAGGGCAGCGTGTGGGGCTCTGCCCTCAGTGGGATGGTACAAACATTAAATACCACAAACTACCTGTGCTGGATTTACAATAACGTGCCAATATCTGTCACCTACGTTGGACAGTGTGTCCCCAGCCCGAACCAACAGAAAAATGCCAACACCACAGTGAAACATGGAGGGCATGAAGAAGGAGAAAAAGGACAAGGCACACCCAATTTCCTCCATCTTGTCCCCTTTGGACCCCTAATCTAGAATCCTAAAATTTTACTTTTGCACCTGTGCCACACTTAATTATTACTGATATCAAACACTCAGAGCTGGTAATTCATCCTGTAAGATTGAAAACTCTTTTCCATGGACAGAGATCACAGCCAGTGTCTCTGGGGGCTCTGTCCAGGGGGGTTCCTGACCCCTGCCAGGGTCCCAGGGCAGCCAGGGGGAAGCTCTGGATTCCCACAAGTGGCCCAGTAAGGAGTGCTGGGAATGGGGCACCCCCCTGCTCAGCCTGCTACCTCCAGCCACTGTCCTGCACACCAGAAGAGCCTTTTTATGGGGAAAGAAGTGAAATGATGGGACTAAAGAGATGGGTTTCTTTTGTGTGTGTCTGCAGCTTGGACTCTCTGTTCCATTTGAAACGTTGCTCTCCTGCTGTTCTTCCATTCTCTGCTATTTGGCAGTGATTGCATCCAAGCTGTGAATAGTTTCAGAGTCTGCTTGGCCTTGGTTTTACAGCTGTGTGTAATTTGTGTGCAGGTTTTATGTGTGCCTGTGGCTGCCAGATGTACAGCCCGAGCTGATGACTTACAGCAGTTGCATGTGAGCAGATTAAATGTGGTTCCCAAGTGCTGCAACTCAGCCTGGAGCAGTCTGTAAAGGCTCCAGCTCATCCTGACACACATAAAGCAGAATTTCAAGAGCTGGTTTAAAAACACAATAATTCATAGGGACAAAATGAGATGGAATTGCAGTGGTTGCTGCTTGGGAGCTGTGTTGTGGTTTTCCTGTTGTTGTTTCTGCTTTTCAGGGCAACCACAGGTAGTGCTGGAGCCTAATCATGACTGAAAAGTGGGAATTCCAGAATGGTTTGGCTTGGAAGGGACATTAAATCCCACCCAGTGCCAGCCCTGCCATGGCAGTGACACCTTCACTGTCCCAGGCTGCTCCAGCCTGGCCTTGGGCACTGCCAGGGATCCAGGGGCAGCCACAGCTGCTCTGGGAATTCTATCCCAGCCCTCCCCACCATCGCAGGGAGGAGGAATTCCTTCCCAAAATCCCACCTGCTGGCTGTGGAAGCCATTCCCTGTGTCCTGTCTCTCCATCCCTTGTCCAAAGTTTCTCTCCATGTTTCCTCTTGGCCCCTTCAGGCCCTGGAGGAGCCACAGTTGGGTCCCCACAAAGCTTGGGCTGCTCTGTTGAGGCTTTAGGTGCTGGACCTTGGGGTTATCAACCTTTGGCTTCCAATCCCACGGGCAGGGCAGGGTGTGAAATCCCTGCCAGTGGATTTATTCCTCCTTTCCTGTGCTCCAGGTTAGGAAAGAGCCCCAGAATGGTTTGGGTTGGGAGGGACCTTAAAGCTGATCTCCTTCCACCCACCTCCCCTGGACCACAAATGAGCCTTTTGATGCTTTTTATGCTTTGCCTTCCCAATTTATTCTTGGCTTTTTTGGCTTTTCTACTGAAAAGGCTCAGCATTCAGGTATTGATAGAGATCAGAGACTTGTGAGAAGCTGTTCAGCCCCCAGACTCCATCTGCTTGGGTTTTTTCTTGTACACTAAATAAAGGCAGAGATAAAAGTCTCTGCTTGGCACCCACTGGAAATTCAGCTTATAAGGGAGCAGAAATAGCAAAACAAAGGCTTTTAGGAGAATTACATCACCAGCCTGAATGCTTCAAAGCTTCTCAGAGCTGTGCTGGTGAGGTGCAGCACCGAGCAGAGGTGTCAGAGCCCCAGAAACGTTTCATTCCTGATGTCTCAATCAGCCCTGCTCAGGTTTTGAAGATCCCACCCCACCTGTAGACCCAGGCTGGAGCATGGGGAAAGCCTGGGAATGGCTGGGGGGGCACAGCTGCCAGATTCCCAAAAAACCCTGGCACGTGTTTCTCTGCTGGGAAGCTCACACCAGGGCTCGTGTGAGTCAAGGTGCTCTTACATAAGCTGTGGAGAGAAAAAATTTGGTGCTGAAGTGGGCAGTACCTGCCCACGTGTAGGAGGGATTTAATCTGAGAACTGGGACTTTATTGAAAGATGTAAATTGAAAATTTCTTGGCTTGGAATAGTTTTTAGGGGATGGGGGACCAGGATTTTCATTCCAGTTCCAGCTGAAGGAGAAAAAAAAAACTCAACAGACCCTCACAGCAACCCCACACCCTGGGCAACTTTGGTTTGTGTCACTCCTTGGGTTCTGTGTTCTTGATTTGATTCAAAACAGGGAATTTGGGCTTTTCCCATGGCAGGAAACCTGGGCAGCAAGGGAAGACCTGGCACCACTCCCTGAATAAAAGCTGCTTGGGAAAGATGAGGAGGAGTCAGGAGAGAACAAGGCCCAAACTTGATAAGGAATAGTAATTCTCCACCTTCAGAATGGAGAGGACATCCAAAGGGGCTCAGCCTGGAGCAAAGGAGGCTCAGGGGGCCCTTCTGGCTCTGCACAGCTCCTGACAGGAGGGGACAGCCAGGGGGGTCAGGCTGTGCTCCCAGGGGACAACAGGACAGGAGGGAACAGCCTCACATTGCACCAGAGAGGGTCAGGTTGGAGATTTAGGGAATATTTCTTCACCCAAAAGATTGCCCAGGGCACGGCTGGAGTCCCCATCCCTGCAGGGATTTAAAATCTGTGGGGATGTGGCACTTGGGGACGTTGTCAGTGGTGGCCGTGGCAGTGCTGGGGAACAGTTGGACTTTATGAGTCTGTGATTCTGTGGAAATAATAATCAGAGAGGGGAGATATTTCCCTTCCAAAAATGCAGCAAGAGTCAGGTTTCCATGAAGGCTGAGCTGCCTGCGCTGCGGGGGCTGCTCAGCACGTTGTGTAAGAGGGAAGGATCCTGGAGCAGGAGCTTGGCCTCCTTCCCACTCTGTGTGCCACTGCAGGTGAGGCTTTTTGTCACAAGTCTCAGCTCGTGGAGCTGGGAATTGCACATTTCCTTCCCTCCAGATGTGCTCACCTGCCCAGAGGTGCCCTCGCCCTCCTGCCTCACACCCGGTCCCTGTTCTTTCCCTCCAGGCTGCAGAGATGGATGGATTTCAGGCAGACACTGAGGAAGATGAGGAAGATGATGACTGCATGATTGTGGATGTACAGCCAGGAAAAGGTGGGAAGGGAAATGGGTACCAGGCTCTTGGCAGACACTCCCCCAAGGGAGCAGGAACTGTGTGAGCTAAACTTTGGATTTCCTGCCCTTCACCATTCCTTGAGCTTTTCTCTCTATAGATATCTTATTCCAGACACTCCTGCTTTTTACCCTTTTTTAAAAAAGATGCTTCTTTAATATTTATGGACTTCTCTAAGCTGCTCTTGCCTCTTCTGCCCTCCTCCTCCACTTTTTCCTCAGTGGCACAAAGCCCCTGTGGGCAGCACTTGGCTGCCAGTGTCACCTGCTTGTTTCTGGGAGCACAGGTGAGCACCAGGGTACTAGTAAAAAAAACCTGGTAAATTATGGAAAATATTGCTGCTCTCTGGGGCCTGCAGAGCCCTCCCAGGCCTGGCAAGGGCTGGGTTATCACCCCTCTCAAAGGTGCAAATTGTCTGAGGGAAGTCACGTCAGGGAGCACAGCCTGGCTGCTGCTTTGCTCCACAAGCTGAGCACTTGCTTGTGTTTGTGTCCCACTTATCCCTTGGAAAAACAGATCAAAGCCCCTCTGCTGCAGCCTCTCCTTTCAGGCCAGGCTGGGATGAGGACGTGGAGCAGCTCCTTTCATCTCCAGGAGCTTTTGGAGGTGATCACACAGCTCAGTGAGCTGACTCCAAGCACGTGCTGTGGTTTCCAAAGCTCTGGGCTCTTTCTTCCTGCTCACAATAAGAGCTCTCCCAACCTGCTCTAAGGAAAGTGGGTTTGTGTTGGGCAGCTCCTCTGCTAGATAAGGACTGGTGCACAGAAATTCTGTAGTGTTTGACCCATTCCAGGCATTATCTGGGCTCTCCTTCCTCTCTGAGCTCCTCTCACCTCCAAAAACAGACAGTGGGACTGCCTGACAAGAAGCTTGGCTTTAATCTTAAGCTGCTTTTGCTTATTACCAGGCTCTGAGATGAAAACCTCAGCTCGGGTTTGTCTCCTCTTGTTCTGAGGATGCCACTGAGCAGCTTCCCTCCCTCAGGCTCTGCTGGCACGCACACAGCTCTGTTTGTTTGGCTCTAAAGCACTGAAAAGATTATGAAAATCCTTTTTATGGTTGAAGTGATTTTTTTTATTCTGGATTGGTGATATTAAATACGAAGCCAGTATTAAAACCAGTTTTTAAATAGTGTTGAAAAGGAGACTCACAACAGATGCAGGAAGCTAAGACAGATAAAACATAAAGCAGTCAAATTTTACCAGATGCATGAGGATATTTATAAAAACAAAACAAACCAAACACATTCTCTCCTTTGCAGGTTCCACAGCTCCAGAATCCAGTGGCACAAGAGCTGCACACCAGGACAGCAGCATGGTCAGCCCATCTAATACAATTTGAGACTTAAATGCCTACTAACTCCTCTGTATGTATGTAGAATGAGCTAGAAAGTTTTAAACCTTGTGTATCTTTGACCAAGATACTTGAAAGTATTCCACATTTCTTGTAAAGAGAAGACAGCACTTTGTTCTGCTTCAGTCCAGATGGAAGCTTAAATTTTTAGACTTAGCTTTTTAGCTTTTTTTTTTTTAATACTGCATATTAATCTGTCCTTAATAAAGCATTATTGAAATTTTGATACTTCTTTGTAATGGAAGGTATCTAAGTTATCTCTAAAAGTAGCTGAGGGATTTTGGAATAAGCTTATTGTGACGCCACTAGGGAATGACTGTTCATAATGTTGTACAGCGTGGCCTTGGGTATAAATGATGTACAATTATATATGAATTTATGCTCTTGTACCATCCTGTTTGTGGTCTTACTTGCTCCAGAGAACAGCAGCAGGGCTTTACCCTGGGAAAAGGAAAAATGCATTGTTTCTCTTATTTTGGGACAGGTTGGACAGGTCAGGGCTAGATCCTCAGTCTCTTGTCTACATCAGAGCTGGGCTCTGTCCCACAGAAAAACTCTGGTTGAGGTAATAAAGGCATCAAATTTGATGATAAACAGAACAAATTTGCTGGGGCTTTCAGCTTTATACGACTGGTGAGTTATGAATTACTTCTTTAAAAGATTTGTCTGTAATTTGAGGTTGGTTTAATCTACCGGGCACCACCAGTAGCTGTTCCCTGCTGTCACTCTCTGCTCTCTGAAGGGACAAGGGGGGTGATGCTGCCCCAGTAACACCAGTGCCAGCCCCAGCACAGACTGGTTTGGCATCTCAAACCTACAACAACAATGCAACTCAAGCAGCTGGGATCAGAACTGAGTCTTTAAATAATTCCATTTAATCAGACTAAGTGTAACTTTATCCAAATAGCTTCTCTCCACCAGGAGTTACAGTGCACACAGAAGCAGAACGGGAAGCTGAGTTCTAAACCCAGCTCCCTACCCAGGCTCAGGTTGGTAATCCAGCCTAACAGCCCCTAATCCCTGCTCCACCACTGCCTTGGGAACACCTCAGGCAGTCCCTGCTCCAGTTTGGTGCTGAAATTCCCTCGGAGGAGCCATGGGGAGAGGCCACCTGCGAGTCTGGAGCTGGGAGGGGACAGCAGGGTCCAGCCCTTCTGCAGAGCTAAACCAAAGCCACCTCTGAGCTCACGTAGCTCCAGCAGTCCTGGGAAAAGGAGGGATGACTCTACAGCCAGCAGCACTGGAGGCACTGCCCTTTATTTCAGGACAGGGTCTGGGCTCTGGCCAGCAGCTCGGGCCTCAGGGGGCTGCGCTGCTCCTCTGCCGCCGCCTCCACGTCTGCCATCACCGCGGCGTCCCAGGCCAGGCTCAGCAGGGCCGAGGGCACCTGGGCAGGACAGGTGACTGAGCACACGGCCAGGCAAGGCTGTGGCACAACAGCAACCCTAAAACCCAGCCAGCAATCCTAAAACCCACCCCTGCCTGGGGCAGCGACACCTCCCACTCTCCCAAGGTTGCTGCATCCTGGATTTGGGCACTCCCACAGCTGCTCTGTTCCCCTTGAGTGTAGAACAGCCTGTGTGCCTTCACACACCTGGGACTGCTCAAACTGAAGAGGACAAAGAGGCTGGATTCTGCAGCAGCTCCTTTTAGGGGATGCTACTTTGGGGTTTCTGTCCACACCTTTCCCCACCATGGCCACCTTCCCTCTTTCCCAGCCCCTGGCAGCTGCTCTGTGCTCCAGGAAGGGGGACCCTGCACTTCCCTCCACACCTCGAAGCCCCCAAGCAGTTACTGCTTTATTTGTGCTTAAAATGAGGGGACAGAGCACGACTTGGGGCTCTGAAAGAACACAAACTTCTCCCCCCCGCCCCCAGCTCTGAGCAGCAGAAGACTCTGACATCCTCAAGATGCTCTGGAAGGTGCCAAAAATCTTTTTTTTTTCACTCACCAACCCACATTCATTGAAGGCCAAGTTCTCATCAGTCAGTTTGAGACCTCCAGGTCCCAGGAGCTCAAAGGGCAGCCAGTCATCTCTGAGTGCTTCTCTCACAAAGTTGTAGAGCACAGATACTGATTCCCGGGCATAAAAAGTCCCTGCCATGAGAAAACAAGGTGAGAGAGTCTGGCATTTACCAAAATCTAACCTTTTGTGGTCGGTTCCGTGGGGCTTCACCTACTGATGCCGACTTGATCGACGACTTCCCTGACACACAGCCAGCCTCATTTAACTGAAAACTATAAAAGCAGAATCCCCAAAGAAAAATTGTCAATTGTTGGGAGCCCCTGCCAGCCTGCAACAAAGAGCTGGGGAAGCCTGAAATGATTTCCAGAGTTCTGCTGGAAAACTTGAAGAGGATTTATGCTGTTGGACAGTCTGACATCACACAGGCAGCCTCATGCTGGCTGCTGTCACTGATCTAATGAGTCCAGCTTGTTATTCCAGAGGCCTGGGAAGAGCAGACTTTAATTAATGATGCCTTGAGATTCTTCCCTCTCTGTCCAGTCCTGGCTTAAAATCCCAACCCTGAGCAGGGGGAAGGTTTGGAGGTGGGAAGATTTTGTGGAGAAACGTTACCCCACTGTAGTTTTGGGGTGGTTTATTCTACTTTGGGGTGGTTTATTCTATCAGCTGAACTCAGCACCTCCTGTTATCCAGCTCCTAACGTTCCAGTACTCTCAGAAGCTTCTGGAAATGGCCGAAGGAAGGGTGAGGAGTCCCTCCTACCTTGCAGGATGTATCCATCGGGGAAGCGCACCCGCAGCAGGGTGTAGTTGTACTTCCTCATCTCCCTCTGCTCGTCCTTCTCGCGCATGGCTCTGGTCCTCAGCATCGACGCCTTCTCCACCGCCTCTGTCCTGCGGGGAGAGACCCTTTAGACCCCGAGGAGAGCCACGAGCTGCTGGCTGGTGTCTCCTGACCCTGAGCTCCTCACCGGAGCCGCTGCTCCCTGCGCAGCTCCTCTGCCGTCAGGTTGAAGAAGTCGTGGGGCAGCTCGAAGCGCGCGGCCGCGGGCGACGGCCGGAACAGGGCGAGCTGCCGGTGGAGCTGCGCCCGCACGGGCTCCGAGCTCAGCAGCTGCTCCTTGTGCTCCTTCAGCCCTTCCAGCCTGCTCAGCACCTCCTCCTGCAGCACGTAGAACTCCTCCGTGGTCTCTGCAAAGCCACAAGGGTGGTGTCAGGCTCTCGGGCTTTAGGGCGGTGACACGGGGACAAGGATCTCTGGGGAAATGTCACATCGGGGATGAGGAATGTGCTGGTTTTGTTTCAGCCTTGGAGGAATGATCTCTGTGGAGCTGTCAGCAACCAGAGCTGCCTCAGCATCCCACAAAGCCCTGACTCCACATTAACACCACGAGTCCTTGCCTTGTCCTGGAACAGGCAGTGTTTTTGTCTCAAACCCGACAGCCTGGAAAAATTTGTGTGTCCCTTCCAAGCAGCTTATCCTTTCCTGGAAGAAAAGGGCAGAATTGAGATGGGGTTTGCTCCAAGCAAGGGTTTTCCAAAGCTGAGCAGCTGCAGAGTCGGAGCTCACCTGAAACACCTTGTTCTGCAGTTTGATTTTCCGGTATTTCTCCTCCTCTGGATGGAGGTAGATGTTATCCAGGTACCTGCAGCAAGAGGAATGCAGTGCCTGGATCAAAGCAGGACACTCTGAGGTCAGAGAGAAAACACAGACCTCACAGAGAAAAAAAGCTGAGAAACCCAGGAAAATACAATACATCAATGTTTTGGGGCCAAACCAAACAACCAGCAGCTCTCAGACCTCTTGGATTAGTGGGACCAACTCCTGCAGGGTGCTGACATCAGGTCAACTGACCAATTGGGTGGTTCAAGGGTTCAATTTTCTTCCAAAAAAAAGGACTTTGCTAGAAGAAGAGCAAGAAAACCCACTAGGGAAGGGATGAGCTGCCCGTGCTCTCAGTCCCACTCACTTGGCCATGGTCTCCACGCACAGCCGGACCTTCTCCCGGTCCTTGTTGAAGGTGTGGATCTCCATGATGGAAGCAGCCACTGGGTCCACGGAGGAATACTGGGGGAGAGGGAGAGAAGCTGCTCAGGAGGAGCTGACCCCAGCTGAGCTCAATTGTTCTTCATTTGCTGGGCTAGAGACGATTGAACAGGTAAAGTGAAATTGTCCTGGGGGAGATTTTACACGAAGGAAGTGGGCTGGTCACTGCTGGAGGGGACCCACGGCACAAAAGGAGTTTGAAGAGGGACGGGAAGGAGTTTGGAGGGAAGCACTCACTGCCTGGATGGCTTCTCGGAGCTGCTTTTCCTTCTGGTCTTTCCTCACAACGGCACCAGTCAAGGGGCAAATGAAATAAACCCCTGAGACAGAGGGAGCAGCTGCCCCTTCCTCCTCTTGCTGCTGAAGGAGATAAAACCGGGCACAAACTGAGCATGGGGAAGTTTTGGGGTTCATAAACACCCTCAGGAGAGGGAGAGCAGCCCCGAGAGGTGCTGAGCAGGGAATGGCGGCATCTCCCTCACCTTTTCCTCCATGGAGAGCCCCTTCTCGCCGGCAGCTGCCTCGGCCATCAGCTCTTTTCTCACTACAACACACAAACCCCAGCTGGAGCGGAGGCTCAGCACATTCCAGAGGGTTTTGGACAGCTGAGAAGCAAACACCTGCCCAGGTGTGTCACCCTAGCCCAGGGCTGCACATGACCCCATTTCCACCGCCCCAAAACACCCTGGAGAGCCCTTCCCGGGTGCTTTTCCAGCCGGTTCTCCTACCCTGGTTCTTGATGTGCTCCTGGGAGGCGGACGGTGCCTTCCCCTTGGGCTTCAGCTCCAGCCGGGCCAGCGCCGCCGCCGCCGCCTTCTGCGCCTCATCCGTGGGGGCCTGCCGGGGCTTCGGGGCCACCTCGGCCCTCGGTTTCTCCCTGGGGGCCCTGGCACGGAGGAACGGGGCTCGGTGCGCGCCCGCCCGCGGGACCGGCCGCTCGGGCCCGGCCGTGCCGCCGCTCCCGGCCCCGCGTCCCCCTCGCGGCCCGGGCGGCACCGGGCTCAGGGCGGCGGTACCGGCCGCGCAGGGGCCGGTGGTGCCCGGGGGTGGCGTTACCGGGGGTGGCGTTACCGGGGGTGCCGTTACCGGTGGGTCCCTCCCCAAGCCCGTACCGGGACGGCTCCGAGAGCTTCTGCCCGGGCCCCGCCGTCTTGAACTTAAGGTCGGCCTTGATCTCCTGGAAGAACTTGCGCATGGCGGTGCCGGGACGGGAACACCGGGACGGGAACACCGGGACGGGAACACCGGGACGGGAACACCGGGACAAGAACGGGGCCGCCCCGTTCCCCTCCGCCCTTCCGGCCCGCCCGCGCCGTCACCGGAACGGGGCGGGACCGGGACCCGCTCGGGCGGCGGGGACGGGGTGGTGGGGGGGTG